CTCCATGCCCAAGAGGGTTAAGGCAGTGCTGGAAAATAATGGTGGCCACACAAAATATTGACACTTTGGGCCCAATTTGGACATTTTCACTTAGGGGTGTACTCACTTTTGTGGCCAGCGGTTTAGATATTAATGGCTGTGTGTTGAGTTATTTTGAGGGGACAGCAAATGTACACTGTTATACAAGCTGTACACTCACTACTTTACATTGTAGCAAAGTGTCATTTCTTCAGTGTTGTCACATGAAAAGATATAATAAAATGTAAGGGGTGTACTCACTTCTGTGAGATACTGTATATATATGTATATACATATACATATATATATATATATATATATATATATATACTGTATATTTATACACACACACACATACATTTTTTACATTTTATTTCAGTTAACAACAATGCTGCAGTGACCCCAAAAGCATTTGGACAATTAAAACTGTATGTGTTTGCCTTAAATAACTAAATATCCAATAAGATTTTTATTCAATAAGTATCAAATACGTTTTTTTTTTGTATAATAAATAATAGTAATAGCTAAACTGTTCAAAATGAAGGCAAAGAGTATTTGAACACTTTCATACAGTAGTTAATGTGCTGAAGCTGTGGTTACTCTGCTAGGATGTCTTCTAGTAGTTATATAAAGGGTTTAGTTATATAATCAGAGAGACTTTTGCTTTCTGCAACAGGAACAGGATATCATGTATGCAGATAAAATAATAACACTGTGTTACATTGTCTGAATGTCTTCTTCCCAACAGAAGGTGTATTTGTGGAGCTTGCGGTCCTACACCTTCATGAGACACCTTACATACGACCACGAGCGCACCATGGCATCATGCGACTTTTCCCAGGACGGAGCGCTGCTCGCGATCGCTTCGTATCATTCGACCACAGGCTGGTGGCTGGACCTGTGGGACCCCTATACAGCAGATCTCCTGACTAGAGTAGAGTATGATGGCCAACTAAGTTGTTCCTTTCTCATATCGTAGTTTTTTTTAATGAATAATTTAAAAAAATTATTTAAATAAAGAAAATTAGAAATAAAACCATTTCATTTTTGGGACAAAAAGTTCTGGACATTGGAAACGATCTGCTAAACATCTTTTGTGCTTCACAGAAGAAAGAAAATATATTTTTGTTCACAGAATTTTATTTTTTGGGCAAACTTTTACATTAAATGCTGAATGATTTGTGTTTATAAATGTATACATAAATTGTTCAATTTCCTAACTAATTTGGTTAAAAGAATAGAAAACTGGCTGAAAATTTACTTGCCGTCAGGCCATTTAGGATATAGATGAGTTTGTTTCTTCATCAGAACAGATTTAGAGAAATTTAGCATTACATCACTTGCTCGCCAATGGATCCTCTGCAGTGAATGGGTGCCGTCAGAATGAGCGTCCCAACAGCAAAAACATTACTATAATCTGCAAATAATCCACACGACTCCAGTCCATCAGTTAACACCTTGTGAAGTGAAAAGCTGTAACAAACAAATCCATCATTAAGATGTTTTAACTTTAAACCATCCCTTCTGGCCAAAATACGAGGTCAAAAAAAAAAAAAAGTCAAAATTTACCAACACATTTGTTTAGAACTGTTCACTTGTAAACGGTGCTTGATCTGTGCAATTTCTCTCCTGATTCAGACGAGATGGCTTTTTCACGATCGCGTTCGGGGCCCCCTCTCCCTCGTCAGGCCCTTAGAATCGTCCTAACCTTCCCCCCGTTACTGCACCCCTGATTATGGATAGAGGACTCAACATTTTGAAGTTAAAAACATATCAGTGACATATCTTTTCACTTCACAGGATGTTAATTGATGGACTGGCGTTGTGTGGATTACTCGGGTAAACTATGCGTCAGAATAAACTGTATGTTGGAAATTGTTGTAAAAAATACTTGCTTCTCTTTCCAGAAACTGTGAGCTGTGTGCTTACAGAAGTGACAATCTACTAACATCTCTTAGCTTCTCTCCGGTTGGTCTGCTGCTGGCTTTCAAAGACTACAGGTGAGCAGTGAACCATCCATTTGAGATCTGAGATCTTCAGAGCTACATGACCGGATGTCACCCTTGTGACCTCACACCTTTCTCTGGTGTTACTGATGACACTGACTGTACTGTGTTGCAGGGCGTTACGGATCTGGGATATGGAACAAGATAAACTAGTTGCAGACACTGATCACAACCGAGCCAGTGGCGTGTGCTGTGCTTTCCATCCACATGGGGGCGTCATTGCTACAGGGTATTGCAAGTCACATAATTGTGTTGGAACATCATTTATAATCAGTTTCGGCTCAGTGTTTACTCTAGAAACTTTAGGGGCTGTTTTTTCCCCCCTGCTTGTATACTGGAATAAATATTAAGAACGTCTTTATATTTGATTGTAGGTGCAGAGATGGACATGTAAAATTCTGGAGAGTTCCTCATCTTGTTCCGAGCCTTAAGCATTTGTGCCGGATCGCCCTGAGATTCTCCATTTCAACCTATCAGGTGGAAGCTCTTCCCTTGCCGAAAAAAATCCTGGAATACCTTACTTACAGGGACGTTCCAAAGCAAAAGATCGTATATTGTGAAGAACACTGCAGATGAAAATAAGTAATGTTTGTGGGTCAAATGTTTGCTTTAAATGTTGCATAATTTTCTAGGATGCCTAATTTCCCCAGACGGTTATGCTTTCAAAACAAAGACTTGAAATATTTATTTAAAGACTTTATTTTTTACATAACTACTTTGAAAATGAAGCATTTCTTTTACAAAGTACTGAGACGAGCTTTATTTCAAGCATAAAAAAATAAACATTTCAAAAATATTACAGGGTTCTGCGCATAGTTTTTTTTTTTTTTTGTCAGAACAATATGAAGTAAACAACTTCCTCTCATGACATCATGGATCTATGTTACATAACCCTTTCAAAGTGTGAACCAATGGTCTATCCATCGCTGACTACGATGTCTCTAACAGCCTGGAAAGCTGCAAGCATTGAGCTCAGCTGGATCTTCTCATTGGTTCCAGAGGCCAGACGATACCTTTTGGTTAAAAAGGAAAGAACAGAAGTTGACGATGCTCACTCAAGCATATAATAATAAAATTAATCTACCGTTCAAACGTTTGGGGTTGGTATGATTTATTAATGGTATTTAAGTCTCTTATTCTCACTAAGGCTGCAATCATTTGATTAAAAAAAATACAGTAAAAAACAGCAATATTGTGAAATATACAATTTAAAAGAACTGTTCTAATATATTATTTTTTTATATATTTAAAAAAAAATGCAAAGCTGAATTTTCAGCATCATTACTCCAGTCTTCAGTGTCACATGATCCTTCAGAAATCATTCTAATATGCAGATTTGCTGCTCAAGAAACATTTATTATTATTATTACCAATGTTGAAAACAGCTGTGCTGCTTAATATTTTTGAGCAAACGTGATACATTTGAAGGATTCTTTGAGTAGGAAGTTCAAAAGAACAGCATTTATTTGAAATATAAATATTATAAATGACTTTGCTGTCACTTTTGACCAATTGAATGCATCCTTGCAGAATTAAAGTATTAATTTGATTGTATATGTTGTACAATATTTATAGTTATTCTCAAATGACCAATGCATATTTATATTAATCAGGTGAATCTGAGTTGAGTTCATGTAGATAAAAGTATCCATGAGGTAAATGTGAGTGTGGTGCTGTTTGCTTCATTCATATTTAAGTAATCAAACAGTCATAAATAGAGCAGTGTACACACTTCTCTACTGATTTACTAAATAACTTGACATAATGAATGTACTCACTCAATATCTGCAAGCTTTATAAGCAAGCCCATGCGGATGGAGGGTGGGAAGTCCACTGAAATAGAGAGACAAAACATTAGAGCCAAATTAACCCACCTAACTGTGCTCAAACAACACTTTGATTGTGTGACCAACAAATCAGATTAAAAATTATCTAAACATTTTTTTTTGTTATTTTAAAACATTTAAAAAACCCACAGAAAACCTGGCATGCTGTGTGATAAAAATTGTTTTGCCATTTTACTCATTATTGCAGTCTGGTTTCTGAAAATAGTGTAATATTTAGTGTTTTTTTTTCTCTCTCCATGTGTGTGTGTGAAGCACGCTACACTCTGCTACTTCTAACAGGCGTCCTTTAAAAACAAGAACAACCGGTTTCCATGACAACCACAAAAGGATCTCCATGGTAACAAGGGCAGGGAAAACATGTAGCTCATCACTATATCAAAGTTGTGATAGGTTGTGTGTGGCGTTCCAGGCCTCAACTAGACTCTGCACTGCTTTGGTTATTTTGAAGAGGAACTGATTATAGAGCCACGCAAGGCTGGATTACAAGTGTAGTCTTACCACGGTGAATGAGAAGATGAACTTCAGTTAAAATGTCATGAAGTGCCAGACCTTTTAGAGTTTTGAGCTGCAGAATTTCTGTTGAACCCAGATAAGGACTTTGGAAACGTCATAAACTAATATCAGCAACTTACAATTCCTATTCCTGTATAAACGGTTAAATATCATTAATAAAATATTGTTTATTAAATTATAAATATCAATATTAAAAATACCTTTTTTTAATTTTTATAAAATACATAATCATAATAGCATACAGTGGTGTGAAAAAATGTTGGCCCCCTTCCTGATTTCTTATTTTTTTGCATGTTTGTCACACTTTGATGTTTCAGATCATCAAACAAATTTAAATATTAGTCAAAGATGCCGTTTTTAAATGAAGGTTTTTATTATTAAGGGAAAACAAAATCCAAAACTACATGGCCCTGTGTGAAGAAGTGTTTGCCCCCCTGTTAAAACTGTGGTTTATCACACCTGAGTTCAATTTCTCTAGCCACACCCAGTAATAAAAACCTTCATTTAAAAACGGCATGTTGTGTTCACTTGTGTTATCTTTTACTAATATTTAAATTTGTTTGATGATCTGAAACATTAAAGTGTGACAGACATGCAAAAAATTTCACACCACTGTATATAATTAGAATATATATAATTCTTTTTTTAAATTCCTTTTTCTATAGTAATAATTATTAAAGAAATATTATGTTTGATTTTACATAGTCACAATATTACATGTATAAACCACAAATGTAACAGATTAGAATACATTGAGCATAATCTCTGTTGTCATTTTCCTGATATGGATAAAATGTTTGTAAATATAGATTTATGTAAAAATTTTACTTTATTCATTTATTGATTGTTGTTATTATTATTAATATCTACAAACAGATGTTTTGTAGATGCTGTCATCCAAAGTGAACCTTTGATCCCATTTCTTATCAAAAAAAACAAAACAAAACAAAACAAAAAAAGGTCATGTGCTATTATGAGCTGTAAAGCTTGGATAACTAACCAAACACTAGAGTAAAAAGGATACGCTTATATGCAGTGGTGAAGTCTTTATTGAGGGCCCAGTCTAGTATGTTGGCGATGTCTGATCTAAGAGGATGTCCAGTACATGTGTACACCGTCTCCTCCGTCACCTTCCCATAGGCCATATGGGTACTCTGTACATGAGAACACGCATTACAGATATTTCTCAGTTCATATTTTTCATACCAGCAGCAACATGATATTTAAACTCTTTAAATATTTTATTCCAATCACAATGCTTATTTATGTCTCAAAATAAAATAATTATTACTTTAAATAATACAAATATTTGAAATGAAGAATATAAAAGGAATGAAATTAAAATAATAATAACATAAAAAAAGTGATTATTAACTATTAAGATATCCAGAATAGACATTCTTACATTTTAAAACCTAAAATAAAGCACAGTTTTTCTTTCATTAAATCAGATGCTTTGTCAAAATCAACCTAAAACCTTTAAAAAAAATGTCCAATCATAATCACACAGCTCTCATTCATGTCTCACTGTGGACAGTGAAATGGCAGAACCTTATTCTTCAGCCATCGGGCCATTTGGGGGCTCAGCAGGTGAGCTGATAGAGGGGCAGATGGTACACTACCTCTCCTTAAAGCATTCTGTGCATCCTGGGTCATAGCATCCGCCTCGTCCAGGATCACCAACTTAAAGCCTTTCCTACAAGAAGCGGTAAATTATTTTACAACAACAGTAAATATTTTAATGCAATAACAACCTAAAGGCCAGGTGTCATTCAATAGTTGCTACATGAAAACGACATTCTTAAACACCTGTAATATATTGCTGTATGTGAGAACAGATATTATATCATACAAATTGTTCATGCATGGGATGTAAGGGTGAGTACTGTTCTTACTTGAAGATGGTTCGTGTGCTGGCAAAGCTGAGGATCGGTCCCCTCACCACGTCTATGCCACGGTCATCTGACGCATTGAGCTGATGAAGTAAAATACACAATAGTTTGCATTACAAAAACAATTTTTTTTTTTTTTTTACTGAAGATTTCACCCTCAGGACCATCCAAGATGTAGAACAGTTTGTTTCTTCATCGGAACAGATTTGGAGGAAGCAATGTTATAGACAGAGGACCCTATTTTAGCCGGAAGCAATGATTTTGAAGTTAAAAACTTCTCGATGGATTTGTTCATTACAAACATGCAGCTTTTCACTTCACAAGACGCTAACTGATGGACTGGAGTCGTGTGTATTATTGCGATGTTTTTATCACCCGTTTAGACTCTCATTCTGACGGCACCCATTCACTGCAGAGGATCCATTGGTGAGCAAGTGATGCAATGCTACATTTCTCCAAATCTGTTCTGATGAAGAAACAAACTCATCACCTTGGATGGCCTGAGGGTGAGTAAACTTTCAGCTAATTTTCATTTTTGGGTGAACTATTCTTTTAAATGGATGACCACATATGTTTTGGCATGGGGAGAAATTCACCAAACATGTGCATTCTTAAAACATCTGCAGACAAACTTCTACAGTACCTCCAGGACCATAGAGTTGAACTCTTTATCTTTGTACAGCTGTTTAGCACATGCTAGTATAGTAGAGGTCTTTCCTGTTCCTGGAGGTCCATAGAAGAGCAGATGAGGCAATCGTTCTTCACTGATGAACTTACATTTAACAATAATAATAATAAAGAATAGATCTTTATCTATGATATCCAGAACACGCATTCTTACATTTTAAATATTTGTGATATTTATTATCCTAAATATCACAAATATTGACAAAATTAACTCTAAATATTTTTTCCCAATCACACTGCTCTCATTCATGTTTCAAAATATAATCAAAAATAATTTAAATAATAAAATATATGAAATAGTAATAATTAAAAATAGATACTAGATACTAAATAGATATTTAAACTCTTTAAATATTTTATTCCAATCACAATGCTTATTCATGTCTCAAAATAAAATAATTATTACTTTAAATAATACAAATATTTGAAATGAAGAATATAAAAGGAATGAAATTAAAATAATAATAACATAAAAAAAGTGATTATTAACCATTAAGATATCCAGAATAGACATTCTTACATTTTAAAACCTAAAATAAAGCACAGTTTTTCTTTCATTAAATCAGATGCTTTGTCAAAATCAACCTAAAACCTTTAAAAAAATATCCAATCATAATCACATAATACGATATTGGAGCTGCTACTGTAAGTATTTAGGCTAAGTGTTCACGCAAAATGATAAAGCACAAAGCTTTAGCAGGGGGGATTTTTATTAAGTGTTGCTTATTCGAATCAAGACAAGATGTGTTTGTTGTCATTCCAGCCATATTTTATACAAGTATACAATGAAAATTATATTATACAGGTCTGCAGTGGAAATTAAAATTAGATACTTAAAAAACAGAGGTAAAAAAGTAATGGTATGTATGGCCTGGGCTGGTTTGCTGGTCTTGGCTGGTCTACTAGGTTGGTCTGTGGCTGTTAGACCAGTGCAAACCATCTAAAACGAGTAAACCATCTTAGTCATATTATTATTATTATTATTATTATTTTAAATGGATGCACCTGATCTGCAGTTTATATTGCTGTATATTCTACACTCTAAAAAATGCTGGGTTAAATACAACCCAGTGCTGGGTAAAATAGGGTCAAACCCAGCAATTGGGCTGTGTTGACCCAGCGGTTGGGTTAAATGTTTAACCCAACCTTCTGGGTAGTAACCCAACCGCTGGGTCAAAACAACCCAATTTTACCCAGCACTGGGTTGTATTTAACCCAGCATTTTTTAGAGTGTAACATTGATAGGTGAAGATGATGCTTATCAATTTTAAAGTATAGGCTGCACTTGGAAATGCAGTGGGGCAACTTTCATTTGACAGGCAGTTCAACTACTTTTTATAGAACTTGAGCATATAAAACAGTGGTTTGATTAAAAAAAGGTTCTCCGAGTTCAAACAGTGAGCTCACTGCATTGATGCTTATCTCGCGAGAACTCTCTCCCCTGCTTGTGTCGGCGATGCGATGCTGATGCTGATGCTGTGAATTTGATTGACGCGAACATGTCGGTGTGATGGGGGAGCGCCGGGATGCAGCTGATGATGGTCCAGAAGGGGAATACGTGCAGTCAAATCAGACGTTATCTTTAAGAAATAACACCTAACGTTCTCCTTTATCATCTATGACAAAGATGTCTCAATTTGTGTTGTATTTCTCACGCGCGCAATGGATCTAGCTGATGCCACCGCAGCGAGGATCTGATTTGTATTTTTTCCTTCCTTCCTTCAGTATCTGTGTATTATGGTAGAGTCAAGCAGGAGCATCAAACATAAACTGTGCAACCCTGATGACAACTCCGTCAGGATATCAGAATATCAACAATGGAATCGCCTTACAAGTAGAGTCTAGTTTTTCATGATCACACACCATTATTCGTGCTTTCACGAACGCACTATCAAAGTGGTATCTAAATTGATTGAGCGAAAAAGTAGCCTGCAGTTAAGAGACGGACCGCTGCTCACAAATTATGGACGAGGAGAATATGACCAAAAGCGACGAGCATCATCTGAGTTTGCAAAAAGCCTTGCAGCAGTGCGAACTGGTGCAAAACATGATAGACATTAGTATTTCCAGCTTGGAAGGTCTGAGGACTAAATGTGCCACATCCAACGACTTGACACAAAAAGAAATCCGAACGCTGGAGGTAAGCAAGCATCCATTTGAATGAGCCCAAATGTAAATGTTGCACCCCAGCATTTCTACAAATGCCACGAGAGTGGATGCGTGCGCGCGTGCATGCACATTAAACAATTTCGCATCTTTGATCGTGTCTTCAATTAAAGTTGCATCTCGGGGATTGACTGTACTGGCGTAATAAACGAAGAAGCTCGCGCTGCAGTGAGAGGCGCGAGCTTGCGCATTCTGCAGGTGGTGAAGAAGGTGGCTCGTGCGCTCGCGCTGCTGACATGGACAGCGAAAGCGGCCTATTGTTGACATTAATTTATATCCTCGTTTTTAAATCCTCCTCGTCATTTAAACGGTCGTTCGTACAACATAAACATGAGATTGTTTTAAATTGTGTTATGCAACCAGAGGTAGCCTAATGTCCCAGATATTTTCTTTTGATATGATGGTAGTATTTTGTGTTGGCTATAGTAGGCTACTGTAGTGGTCGCCCAAATATGTTTTTTTTTTCAAAGACCCGATAGCTAGATCTGGGTGGCCTATAATGCTTTTTTAAAAATGATGGCAATTAGACTTAAGGGAGAACGAGAAGTGTTGTAACGCTTTTTGTTTGAACGTCTTTAACTCTTTTTGTTTCTTTAGTTATGTGGGATCGGAATCGATTGCGATTATTCTAAATGAAGTGATTCGATTCGAGCTACTTTTGTTGAATTTTCGCAGCTCATGTTGCTTACTGCCTTGAACAGCATGTTGCCAAATGATGAGATTTCAACAGAACAGATAGGCTATAACAAAACAGCATCGAAATTCTACAAAATTTGCGTTTACACAGAGACATTTAACAACTCTTTAAAACAAGCCTAAGTAAAATAAGATAACAAAGGCCTATTCGTTATTTGTTGTTTTAAAATAATTGCTAAT